CTCCCAATTACTAACTATACCGATTCCCATTACCTATAAACTGTCTGGACAGCGCAGGCTTCATACCCAAGACAGGTGGAACAGTGTGGGGTTGGACTAGATGACCTACAAGCCCCCTTCCAATGCTGTTAACCTGTTATCCTTCCAAGATTATCCCCCCTCCCCATGCCTTTAATTAATCCAAGCTGGTTCTCTGACTTCACAACAATGTGCTTATCTTTACAAACATGTAACCCTCTTGACGGTTTCCTATTTTATTTCTTAAATAAAATTTATTCTGTCCTCTTTTTTCCCCCCCGACAGAGCAATCTGCCAAGATGGGAAAACAGTTTGGAAACTTGATGAAAACGAGGCACGTGGTCAGCTACTATCTGTCTCCGTTTGAACAGAAAGTTTTCCCCAACATCCCACACAGGATCTTAAACACCTGGAGACGATTCAGTTCTTCGTTCTTCCGCGTGACGCCTCGTAAGTGAAGGTGCAGGGAGGAAAAAGGGAGGGGGGGGGTTTGAACAGGGTTCCTCTAAAGTTTTACTCACCCAGTTTTTCACTCCTGAGGAGTGGCGCCTTCGATTTCTGAAACTACAGGTAGATCACGGTTGAATTCAACACTTACGTTGATAAGCGAAGTGAGTTTTGCCCCGTTTTACAGCCTTCCTTGCTGCATTTTGTTCAATGAATCAATGCAGTTATTTAGTTAGTAACCTGGTTGTTAAGTGAGCCGGGCTTCCCCATTGGCTTCGCTTGTCAGAAGGTCGCAAAAGGGGATCACATCACCCCGGGTTGCGACCGTCATAAATATGAGTCAGTGGCCAGGTGTCTGAAGTTTGATCGTGGGATCCTGCAGCGGCCGTAAGTGTGAAAAATGGTCCTAAGTCACTTTCTTTTTTCCAGGGCTGTTGTAACTTCGAACGGTCATTAAGCAACCTCTAGAAAGAGCGCAGAGATTAGGGGACTGGAGGGTAAAACAGATCAAGAATGGTTGCTGGAATTGGGTACGCCTAGTTCAGGAGTCTTCAAATTTGACAGCTTTAAGACTTATGGACTTCAACTCCCAGAATTCCTTCTCCTCCAATCATGTTAGCTCAGGAATTCTGGGAGTCCACAAGTCTTAAACTTGCCAAGTTGAAAGGCCTTTGGTCTAATTTAATGAAAAGGACTAGGAGTAGCATGATCGCAGTGTTCCAATATTTGTGTTGTGGTTAGCCGGCAGCAGCTGCGGACGGCTGAGGAGAGCGAGGACTCAGATGAGGGGCCAGGACCATTAGGGAGTGGACTGCTGCCTTCTGAGATTGTGGGGGCTGGCAGCAGCAACGAGGAGGTTCCCGAGGAGCCGAGGTGCCAAGCGCGCATGCGCGCAGGATTGCGCGCAGGAAAGAGCAGCTACAACAGCAGGGCGACTTGGGAGTAAGGCTGCAAGGTAATGGCCCCTCCTTCAAGGAGATAAAAGCCAGCTGTGAAACGAAGTTACTTTGCAGAAGGCAGAGACGTTTTGGAACTCCAGCCTCGTGGACATTCCAGTATCCCGAGTTTGTATTTGAACATTTTTGTCTTGCAAATTATTTCTGGTCTGTTACCTTTTGGCAAGTCTCACACAGTTTGGCAAGGCTTGTGCTTATCACAGCTAATGATTTGGTAAAAAACATTAGAAGGTTTTCTGTTCTTTTTGAATTGTGTTTCATTTGTGGGAAAAGGGCGTGGTCAGAACAATTTGAGGGGCTGTCCCGAAGAAGAGAGGCTCCACCTATTCTCCAAAACACTTTTAAGGCAGGACAAAAAGCAACGGATGGAAACTCATCAGGGGGAGAAGCAACCTAGAAATAATTGAGAGATTTTCTGGCAGCGAGGACAATCAGTGGAATGGCTTGCCACTAGATGTTGTGGGTGCTCCATCCCTGGAGGTTTTGAAAAAAAAAATTGGACCACCATTTGTCTGAAATGGTGTAGGGTTTCCTGCCTGAGCCAGGGGTTGGACTAGAAGATCTCCAAGGTCCCTTCCAACTCTGTTATTCAATTCTCTTCTGTTGTAAGTTGAGCCCGCTGTTATGCAAAACCGGAAGGAGGGAGGCTGCTCTCTTGCTGTCACTTCTCAGCCAGTTTTATTTTATTTTTTTCAGGCAGGATGTGCACCAAGCTACCATTCCATAATTTCCTTCCAGTTGCCGTTCTCTTTAAGAAGAAGAGCGGATACTGCCCCCAAAAGTTGTAATTTATATAGTCATTTACAAAAAGTTTCCAATAGAAAACGATAGATGGCGCACCAGAACAGCACAAAAAAATCAGAATTGGTCCTGTTATTTTTAATTGTCAATTCAAAAAAAAAAAAAAGGTTAAAAAAAAGTGCCATCTTTATCCCTGGCAACTTGATCCCAACAAACAGCAAGGAGATAAGCGCTGAAGCCGTTCCATTTTAATAAACAACACGTCATTAAAATATTAATTAACCTGGCTAGGCAAAAGCATGCAAAAAAAGAGCTGCTTTGTCAGGTAAGCCTGTTGCATCTTCCCTGCCCCTGTTCTCCATCTCATTATTGCAAAGATTTGTCTGGCTTAAGGATTAGGGATCTGCCTCGCTGATCATTCTGGCTGCCAATCGCTTTGGAGGCGATACCTGTAATCCCTACATTACAAAACCTGCGTTCGGGGCACATTTAGTTCGATAGCGTTGCCATTAGTTTAATCTGTGCCTAAGCAAGGTGTGAGATTCAATTTGGGGAATTGCCAAAGGTGCTTTTTTTCTTATTGTTTTTTTTTTTCAGGAGGCAACTGGACTTTTCTTGCTTTTTTCTTTTTGAGGACATTTCGCTTCTCATCCAAGAAGCTGCTTCAGCTATGACAGGATAATGGGGAATGGGAGGATTTATATTCCTTGCAGGCAAGCTGGTCATTTGTATCCTTTTAGAGGGTCGTTGAGGCTACTCAGGTATGCTGGCTGGAGAATTCTGGGAGTTGAAGTCCACAAGTCTTAAAGTTGCCAAGTTTGGGGATCTCGGACTTAGAGGTTTATCTGTGTCCTCGGGGGTCACTTGAGCCTTCTCCACACCCATTTGCACTGCTCGAGACCCTGAAGACACCGATAAACCTCCAAGTGGCCTCAAGGACTCTCTAAAAAGGATGCAAATGACCAAGTTGCCTGCAAGGAGTCTAAATCCTTCTCTGTCATCCAAAGGTGCCTTTTTTTTTTCAAGAGATAGTCGGGCTTCCTTGTTTGCTTCTTTTGAAGACGTTTCGCTTCTCATCCAAGAAGCTTCTTCACCTCTGACAGGATGGTGGGGGAAGGAAGGATTTATGCTCCTTGCAGACAGCTGGTCATATATTCGGTCCCATATTCCAGAGCTGCCGTAGTCACAGGACTTGCGATCATTTTTCCCCCTTACAACCATTGCACCCTCCCGATCTCACGTGATCAAAATTCACACTTTTGGCAACTGACTCATATTTATGACGGTCAGGTTTGGCGACCTTCTGACAAGTCAGTGGGGAAGCCAGATTCCAGATTCCAACAACCATGCGACTACTGAACAGCTGCAGTGATTCGCTTCTGTAGCAAGAAAGGGGGTAAAATGGGGCGAGGCTCACTGAACCAATGTCTCACTTAGCAACACAAATCCAGAGCTCAATAATGGTCATAAGTTGAGCACTAATTTTATGAAGTGATAAAGAGTTGGAGAAATTGAAATTGGTCCATTCTAACTTGGACGTGCAACCCTAAACTTCCCTTCTGTTTTGTGTTTTTTAAGAATTCGTCTTTGCATACATGCTTTACGTCTGGGCAAACGACTACAATAAAAAGTTGAAGAAAAAGAACCCGGCTGACTACGAAAATGACGTGTAAAGAAGATTCATGGGGACAAAATTTCTTTTCAACTTTTATTCCTCTCGGTTCTGAAGATACGATGCGTAGTTGTAAGAACACTTGGATCCAATAAACCTCTGTTGTGTTCCATCCTCGGGTGTTAACGTCTTCTGTCCAGCGATGCATAACTTCACTGCTTCAGAAAGAAAATAAATATATTATTGTGGGCTCCACCAAACCTGGGAGGGGTATATACATATATTTGTTTTCTGAGGTTTTCGCGGGTATTTGTATGTGGATCTTTGGTTATTCGGGTTTTCTCCCGCGTAAAATTGGAAGTATTTTGGTGACGTTTTGAGGAAGGAAGGAAGGAAGGAAGAAACAAAAGGAAGAAGCAGCTGCAAGCTCACATTACTCCGAGAAGCACAAAGCCGAAGACACAAGCCTGAAGATGATGAATGAGAGTTCATCGAAACGTCGCCTTGATACTTCCAATTTTATGCGGGAGAAAACCCGAATAACCAAAGATCCATATACATATATACATATACATACATATATATATATGTATATATACATATGTATATATATATATGTATATATACAGAAATAATCAGCTATATCCTATTTATATAAGATATATATTCACACGCAATGTATATATAGACAGACAGAAATAATCACCATCTATATCCGTCTATTTATATAAGATATATATTCACACGCAATGTTGTATATATAGATAGGCAGAAATAATCATCTATATCTTTCTATTTATATAATATATATATATTCGCACGCAATGTTATCTCTATCTCAATGACAGCGCCATTTTTCTTTAAGAGTCGGACGCAAAGGAGAACCACAGGCTCGGGGGGGGGGGGGGGAGGGCGGGAGTGTTGACAGGCGTCCGTCCGGACCAATCCGACGCCGGGGCGCGGCGAGAAGAGAAGCTCCGCCTTTCCTTTCGCCCCCCGCCCCCATTCCTTCTGTTCCTCTCACGGCCGGCTTCTCCCTCAAGGGAGCGGGAGGCGTGGTGGGGAGGGAGGAGCGGGGTGGGAATCGGGCGCGAGGCCCCGCCCCGCCGTGCGTGCGTGCGTGCGTGAGGAGGGGAGGGGCGTGGTGTAGAAGGCGGAGGGGGGGAGGAGGGGCGGGCCATTCTTCTGCGGGTCCGCGCGCCCGTCTGTCAGTCCAGCCGCGGCGCGGCTGAGGGAAAGGCGGAGAGACCCGCACGCGCGCGGCGGCGCCATGGCGGAGCGAGGGGCGTCGGTGCTGGGCGGCCCTCGGGGCTCTGGGGCCGGCGCTTCGCTGCTCCAGCCGGCGCCTTGTGTCCCGCCGTCGGCTCCGCAGCCTTCGTCGGGGTCCCCGGCGCTGAGCGGGACGCCTCAGCTGCTGGCCCCGCCGTCTGTGCCTCCGCCGCTGCCGCAGCCCTCGTCGCCCCCGCAGCCCGCCCTGGCCGCCCCTGGCTCGGGGGCTTCGGGCCCCGGCGGTGGAGGGGCGCCCCCTCCTCAGGCCCCGCCGGGCTCGGCGGCCGGGGGTCGCCCGGTGCAGATGAACCTTTACGCCACCTGGGAGGTGGACCGGAGCTCGCCCAGCTGCGTGCCCAGGTGAGCGGAGAGGGGGCGGGGAGGGTCAGCTCCCATCATCCCCAGCTGTTAAAAGACCTCCGGTGGGGGCAATTCCC